GCTTGGAGGTGTGGAAATAAAGACACAACTCCCATGGCTTTATTGGGAAGAAGATTCTCTCAGTGATCTCTCATGAAATCCTGAATTCACATGCTTGAAAAATATTTATTCTCCAAACAGCCTTGTTACGAAAACATAAACTGAGGGGTAAATTCATTAGCATTTTGTTTCTTAGGTAACCAGGTGAATGGCTTTTAGTCATGTCCAAATCTACCTATGCCTGCTGTCACATCTTCCTGCTCTGTATGCTAGCTCTGTCACATAGGTTTAAATTAGCATCTCTATTCAGGCATCTTTCAAACTACAAAGAAGAAGCATAACAACATCCCGACCCTTTGTTAGGGTAGCGACAGCCTGTCTGGAAGGTTATGCCACCACCTCAGGTACTAACTATGGCTGCCATACCATATAGAGATATGGGCTGATAGACAGGCAGAAGGCTGTCTAACAAATCTGAACACTTTGTCAGTGCTGGGTATGAGACATGCGACTAGTTTCTAGTGGGTAGGGATGGTGGCTGGATCCCTGGCTTTGTCGTGTTCTGGCCAGCCAGTTCCCTACCCCCTGGCCCTTCTTCCCATCTCTCCATTTTCTCCCAAAAGGACAACTGGGGCCTTCTGCCAGGGTGTGCAGCCAGATGTTTGTGGTCTAACTGTTCTTCCAGAAGGCAGGGTAGCATGAAGCAAAGCTTTCTTCAAAGACGGTAGCTCCATCATCTTTCAAAGTGCTGAACAGCCCTACTACTGCATGCTGAAGGCTCTGGAGTGAAGCTGCAAGCTCTGCACTTTTTGGATGGGCTGAGACTGCTCCTGCCCTACACATGGTCGCTCCCACCATCCCTCTGTCCTCCTGGCATGCAGGGTAGTCTTAGAGTGTGATGAGGCCACGATGGTGTCTGCTTGAAAGAAAATTAGGGTTTTAACATCCTCTAGGTTTAGCTAAATACAACTCAAAAACCCGCCATCCTCAAACCAAGCATCATAAAGAGAAGGTGTCCTGGAAAGAGAGGCCAGGGACAGAGTTTACTAACGGAGCTTTTCTCAGACTTCAAGACACAGATACTCCAGGTCTACCTAATGTTCAAGTCCACTGAAGACTCAGAAAACCTTCCAAATCACTTAAATGAAATATACAGACCAGAGCAATAAAAAGCAACAGAAAAATGTCCTAAAATTGGCATAAATTATATTGATATAAAATGCTATTTTATGAAAGATTTAGGTTTTGTGGTTGTTTTTTAAATACATATGCTTTGGGACTGGAGAGGTGGTTCAGTGGTTAAGATAGATCACTGGCTGCTTCCCTGGAGGACCTGGGTTTGATTTCCAGCACCAACACTGTGGCTCACAACCATCTCTAATTCCAGTTCCAGGGGACCTGATCTCTATTTCTGACCTCTGAGGGATCCGGAAGTACAAGTAACACACTGATATACACTTGGGCAAAATACCTCTATACACATAATAAAATATTATTATGATAATTAAATTTGGGTGTTCTTGTTTAGTTTGCTATCTTAGTGCATGCTCAGCCTTTTAAAGACTAACTCACTAAACAAAACTGTCGCCAACCTTAGCATGTCTTGTGTTCCCCTTAAATCAGCTTTTAAAACATAAGCTAAATGCGTAGTTTCTAACTTAAAATTAAAGAGCTCTTCTACGTCCCAACCCAGAGTAATTTGACGCACGTGTATCTGTGTGAGTAACCCTAGCCATTTGCTCAAGCAGCCACAGGCTGAAAGAAACCTCAAACAGCAGATGACCCATAAGTGTTGGAAACAACCTTTTCCTTTATAAAACCTTTTCCTTTATAAAACTGTTCAATATCTCTGTCAAAAGCATCCCTGTATATCTTCCCTCATAGTGTTTTCTGTACTGTTTAATAAATATAGAGCAAAACCTTTTGTTAGAGATAGGCAGACCAGACATACTCACACAACCAGGAAACAGGTAGACACAGTCAACACATTCCAGAGGGAAGGAAGAATTAAAACCTTGGTCTGTTTTTAGTCCAAACTACTCCAAGAAGAAGTCTCTTTTCTCATTCTTTAATGACATCTATGAAGACCATAGTCACTACCCTTTTCCCAGATCCTAATTAGTAGAATATTTCATTAGACAATATTTAAAATATGGACAATTTTCTAGTTTATTGAGAGAATGCAAACATTGTTAAATACTGGGAGCCCTCCTGAGATAAATTTTTAATTTTAATTCAATTTTATTAACATAATTGATACATTTATATATAAGAATTTTAATTTACAGAGCTATCAAAAAGATACCCTTTGGAATTTTGACATTAAAAAATCCAAACCTTAGTAAGCTTAAGAGATAATGTCTTAAGATTTAAAAAACCCACTTTTAACCCCACCACTCTGAAGACAGAGGCAGATAGGTCTGTGTTCGAGGCTACCCTGGTGTACAGAGGGAGAGTAGGTTCCAGGACAGCCCCGGCTACATGGAAAAACCCTAGCTAGAAAATCAAAACAAAAGAAACAAACAAAGAAGAATTTTTTAAAGGATGGGGAGTGAGATGAGAGAGAGAGAGAGAGAGAGAGAGAGAGAGAGAGAGAGAGAGAGAGATCAAAGAATTGAAGGTCAACGCCACCTTTACTGAGAAAGCAAAAGAATCTCTTACTTTAAAACTCACAGGAGTGTTTGAAATATTATGACTTTTCTGGAGAAGAGGCCTAGAACTACTAACGAACAAGAAAGGTTTCTGTAAGGGGGCAGAACTGTTAAAGTGGGCATTCTTCGTTGGTGACAGAAATTGAAATATATGAAAAGTGAGCAGATAGAATGGTGCCACATAGCGGGGGCCGTCAGCTGAACAATAAAAGACAAAGCGCGGAGACGACTGGCTTCAGAGGTACAGACCGTATCAGTAGATCCGGTACTGGTGGGTAAGAAGCAATATCAGATGATCATTGGGGAACAAACCTGGGGGATGTGCACCCTCAGTGAGAACTAGCTAAATGCTACTAGCTAAATGCTCATGGACAGGTCAGCCTGGTCAGAGCAACGGAGAACACACTGCATTTTTGAAAATTGTTTCAAGGCCAAATTTGAAGTGTTTTTTACCACAAGAAGATAGTATATGAGTGACCATAACATTGGTGTCTGGAAGTTTTATGTGTAGGCTTATCTTATCAAATGCATTATTTTTCTCCTCATTCTTCCAGGTTTGTTGTTTTGTTGTTACATCTAGATCCTTGTGTGGAAATTTAACCTGTTTGATTCCGTCTTTGAACATCATTAATACACATAAGGACCCTTGTCTTAAAATTGCCTGCACAGTCCTCTTCTCTGCGGTTGGTGCTACCATGCCCATACTTAGGATTCAGCTACAGTTGATTTACAATTTCTACATTCCTTTGTTTTCATCTCTCAAAACTATATAAATTGGTTATTTTCTTAATTATTATTTCCTAATGTTATTGCTTCGTGAGAGCAAACATGGTTTTGGCAATGCAACCTTTCAAACTTTCTGATACAGCCTTGTGCTTTGAGGTATGACAATTTTTGCATCTGTGTTTGAATAAGTCAACTTATTTTTTTCACAAGTGGGGCTTCTCACAGCGTGTGAATGGAGGCCTTTGCCTGTGACCACAAGGCATGTGATGGGTGGATTCGTAAGCCCCTGGTGTGCATCTGTTGCTTGTTTATATGATTTTTTCTGTGTGCAGCCCAGAGGATCTTGGTGAAAATATCAGTGCTTTTGGAGATCCCTAACAGGGAGGTGTGTGACATTGTCTTCCTGTGACCCCCTGATTTCACTCTGTGTGTGTGCATTTCTGACAATACTGTAATTGATTAATTTGGGTATCATTAGGATGGATTTTGAACAGAGAAGCAGGAAATCATAGGGGATATGAAGTATGGCTCCCATCCACATGGATCTGTTTGGTGATTGCTGTGCTCAACCATAGTACCCTACTGTCCCTGGTGTGAAGACCCAGAGTCTCAGTGTCTATTCAGATCAGGCCTTGGTGTCCAGCTGCTGTCTGCCTCTTTCCTGGGGTGTGGTATGTGTCTGGCAGAGGCAAAGGGTAGAGACACTCCCATTTTGTCTCCAGCCACCATCGTGGCCCTTTTGACTTTTAAGCCTGTGGCATTATCTTGCTGACTCACTTAAATATTTGCAAACCTTCCTGCTATTTTGCTTGTTTTCAGTAAGAGATCTTCCAGGGTGTGCAGATCTTCCCTCTACTGAGAAAAACTTCAGATTCAGAATGGAGCTCGGGACATGGAGGAATGGGGGTCTCACACCTTTGCCAGGTAACCTTTCCATTAAGGCCCTCACAGCACACAGGTAGCTTACGGCCACCACAACCCTAGCCCAGCTTGCGGTCCTGCAGCCCAAGGCAATGTGTGGTCAGATGGACAGCAGTCTTCTCAGTTCTCATTCCCCAATGACACCTGCAGAGATTCACACTCCAGTTTTGTTTGACTTTGACACTGTATAAGGAACTAACTTCTCATTTTTATTATTTTTTTTTAATAAAAGATATATCGGGGTTTATTTTCTAGTTTTTATAGACATAGGTGGGAAATTCCATAGGCAAAGGCAGTGATACGGATAGACACACCATGTGGAGTAAGTGGGTATTTATTCAGTGGGATATGGAGGGGAAAGGGAAAGGGGGAAGGGGAGAAGGGAGCAGAGCAGAAAGGCAGAGAGAAAGAGAAACTGAGTGGGGGAAAAGAGGAGACATGGGGAGAAGAGAATGAGGGGGAAGCTGCCTTTTTGGGAGAGAAATGGAAAAGGAGATAACTTGGGCTGCAGGCTTGAAGGAAGATCTGCCTACCTCAGTGGTGGACAGGGGGAGGAAGTGGGCAGGGCTTGTCTCTTAAAGGGACAGGAGAGACCATTACTTTCCCATCTCTTTTTTATAATAAAAAGGCAGGAGGTTAGGCACAACAGGTTAAAGGAATTGGGGTGGCGAATTCTCAAGACTACTTCCTGCTTAATTGTGGGCATCATCTTGAAGAGGTTACCTGAGGAAGCTGGGTGCTGGTCACATTCTGGGATAGCTGGTCTTTTGTTCCTGTCCGGTGTTTGTGGTATGGAAACGTCTGGTGTCTCTTACACCTGTTTAAGGTATTAGCAGAACAGAGGACAAAGTTAAGTTTAGGAAAAAAAATTTAGGATCAGGGAATTGAGAGGGGTATATCTGACCTGTTTAAGGTGGATCAGATCCTTCAATTTGGCTGCCTGGAACTCACAAGAATTCTTTTAGTTTGTAAAAACATAAGTTTTAGACATATGTATTGTATAAACAGTAGCATATTTATGTCAAAATGACTGTGACAGATGGTTTTGCACAATGAAAAGTATCTTTAAGACTATGGAAGACAGCGTGAAAGAGAAATTTGATAACTTGTATTTGTCCTCACACCTTTATAACTTGTAGGTATATACCTTAATAACTTGTATTTGTATTTTACTGAAACTTGTTTGGTGAGGCTGTCCTTTAAAACTGACAAAACCTCTCAGCTGTCAAACTGCATCAGAGATCTTTGAGAAGGATAAAATTTTACTTGAGTTATTGATTAAAAAATGACAGAGAACTTATTTGTTTGGCACCTAGAGCTAGTCCTCAGGGTTCTTCATGGTCGCCGAGGGTCGTATGTGTCTTTTGCTGCTTAGCACAGGGTCTGCCAGGCTCCAGAAGATCCGGTGGGTTAAGAAATCTGTAGGAAAACAAGTCTACCTGAACCTGAGCAGCTTGGCTGTCGATTCCAGCAATTCTTTCCACTGAGTGGTGATCTTCAGTTTAGTTGAAAGTCAGTTTTGCCCAGTGGTCAGTGTTTGGCAGTTGAAGCAAATTGCAGATGGACATTGTTTTGTGCTTCTTTGTCTTCTGTCTTTTTGAAGAATGTAGAGTGCTGCTACTAGGAGCCAACCTGTCTTTTTGTTATGAAAAGTATTTTTTTTTGATTTTTGAGACAGGGTTTCTCTGTAGTTTTTGGTGCCTGTCCTGGAACTAGCTCTTGCAGACCAGGCTGGCCTCGAACTCACAGAGATCTGCCCGCCTCTGCCTCCCGAGTGCTGGGATTAAAGGCATGCGCCACCACCTCCTGGCCTGAAAAGTATTTTTTTAAAATTAAATATTTAAATGTCATATTCCCAAGATCTCTGAGCAGTTGAGGGCTGTTTGCCAGGTATAGATGAGTTATAACTACAGTTTAGAATCTGCCTGAGCTTGACTGCACTGTCTCTCAACAGGTGAAGCAGGGTTGGATTAAGAGACTTAAAAGTCCATACCAATTTAAAACATGAGACTTATTGCTTTGTAGTCTGGAATGAGATACATTGAGCAGACAATTATAACATTTAACAGTAAACATAGGTATTGGAGGAGGCTGCTTGTTGGATCCCAGCTGCCTGGCTCCAAAATAATCACACAGAAACCATATTATTTGAATCACTGCTTGGCCTATTAGCTCTAGCTTCTTATTGACTAACTCTTACATATTATTTTAACCCATCTCCATTAATCTGTGTAATACCATTAGGTCATGACCTACCAACAAAGTTTCAGCATGTCTGTCTCCAGTGGCTTTTCCTTAACTCTGCCTTCCTTCTCCAAGCATTCAGTTTAGTTTTCCTGCCTAGTTCTGTTCTACCCTATCAGACCAAGTCAGTTTCTTTATTCACCAAGGGTATTCACAGCATACAGAGGGGGAATCCCACATCACATAGGTTTATTTAAGTTACACGTATGTACACACACATACAGAGTGAACAGGAATTGGGTAAGTAGATGTTTTAGTGGGCCCTACCAAAGGCATGCCATTGCACAAAACACACATGTAACAGAGTCAGTCCCCGTGAAACCAGGTAGGGAATACCTCAGTAAAGATGGAGGGACTTGGTCATCTGTGCTGGCTCTCAGTTAAGATGGCAGTGAAGTCACCTGACCTCAGTTAAGATGGTGGTAAGGTCATCTGACTTGAGTCAAAATAGTGGCGGTCACGTGTTGTATGGAAAAGTCAGGTTTTTTTTTTTTTGGCGGAGGGGCTGTGGAAGTTTAACCTAGAGGCATGATCTGCCCTGTTGCTGAGCCACCATGCCACAGGCCGTGGTGGGGAAACAAAGGTGGGAAACAGCCGCCTCATGAATCCGACCAATCTTGTTAGCTACAGTAGTGGTGGCAGCGACAGTTTGAAGAAAAGTGGAGCTGGTGGGACACGGGCAGAATGAGGGTTTATACCATAGCGGATAACGTGTAAACCCATGAAGACAGCAAATGAACACCACAGGGCCTATAGAAGGATGTCTCCTCTCTACAGGCAGGGTGTTAAAGCCTACTGGCTCCTGTCGGGGTCACTCGAAAGCCAGAGAGCCTGGAGGCCATTCCGAGTGGTCTCTCACAGCAGGGACCAATGGTGAGTGCTACAAAAGAAAAGAAAAAAAAAAGAAAGGAAAAGGAAACATCCGAGGGACCCTGAGTCCCCAGTTGAATGCACCACACAGTGTGTGCAGTGCTAGTGTGGGAGGACTGATCCCAGGTTGGCCAGTCTCGATTTTAGCTATGAAAAGCAGTGAAGGGCTCAACTAGCTTGAAGGCTGTGGTTGGGGACTGAAAGGGAAAAACCACCAAAGCTGCTGGTGTGCATAGAGGTCGGCGTTCAGGCACATGGAACACGTGGTTGTTGTGGAAAAAATACCCGTTTCCAGATCCTGATCCCGAGAGAGGAATAGGAGCGCCTTCCCTAGTCTCAGGCACCATTGGTATGGTATAAATAAAATGTTGTGGTTCCCCGAGGGGCGCAGAGGCAGAAATGCTGTAGGTCCCCGAGTGTCAGCAGTGGGCAGCGGGCACGAGACAACAGCCAGCCACGAAGGCAGCTGGGTCCCATGCAAGGATCCTCTGAGTGGCCCAAGTGCCAGTGCAGTGCACAGAGCTACATAGTGGGTGAGAGACCTCGGTGGGGCAGCCAGTCCCATGAGGAGCCGCAGTCCCATGAGTAGCGGCAGCCCCAGAGGGTGAGAGACAGACTAATAGGCATGCCAAGCAGAGTAAGTGGGTATTTATTTAGTAGACTTTAGAGGGGAAAAATAAATGGGGTAGAGAAGGGAGAAGAGCAGAGAGGCAGAGACAGAGACAGAGAGAAAGAGAAAGAGAAACAGGAGGGAGGGGAGAAGTGGGGAGAAGGGAGGGAGGCAGAAGTTGCCTCTTTGGGAGAGATGGAAAAGGAGAGGCTCAGAATTACTTTAGCATAACTAAGTGTTGTATGGAGCCCTACCTGTCTAAGGAGCTGCGTTGACTCTTACAAGTTCTCCTATTCCTGAGTTGGATCCTAAGCTCTGTGGGCCCAGAGCATTCCCAGCACTATTGCTGTAGAAGCCTTCATTTCCGTGCTAGAAGATGAACTATGGCCTCACATTGGCTCTATGGCCCAGGTTACCCCCGCAGTTCTAAGGCTTTCAGAGCATCTCAATGCAGGCTGCTACGTCTGGGCACCATGGGAAGAAATGCAGAGAAAGCGGAAGTTTTCAAATTCCTTCTCCTCAGTCACTTGCTATGCACCCCATACTCTGTCAACTGCAGGTGGTGTTCACCATGGCACACCAAAAAGTCTTTCTGCAGAAATCCAAATGTAGTTTGCTTAGTTTTATCCTCTTTTTTAAAAAAAAATTAAAAAAGATTTACTTATTTATTATGTGTACAGTATTCTCAGTATTCTGTCTGCATGTATGCCGCCAGGTCAGAAGAGGGCACCAGATTTCATTACAGATGGTTGTGAGCCACCACGTGGTTGCTGGGGATTGAACTCAGGACCTTTGGCAGAGCAGGCAGTGCTCTTAACCGCTGAGCCATCTCTCCAGCCCCAGTTTTTATCCTCAAACACAAAAGCAAAGTTGATTTTAAATAATCAAGACATTCCCAGAAACAATCCCTCTCCCAAAAAGAAAACTTATGAGACTGCCCAAGAATCCACACCAATGCTGGACTGCAGGCAACCATAGAGGCGTGTGGTTAAGTGTTGGGTCCCAGGAGAAGGATGCTCAGATTTGTAACACTTTTGGACAATTTCAAGCTGAGCTTGGGAGGATGTCTTCGGGGTACATACTAGCTGAGAGATGAAGCGTGGCTCAGCCTATGAACTACCACGACATGCCACCTCCAGCTGTGGCCTGGAGCAACCTGTCAGGAGGAGCTCAGGGCAAGCCATTGTGTGAACCTCAAAGTCTGAGCTGTCTTTCACGAGGAAAGAAAATTTCCAAATGGAGCAGAACCGTCAGGCTCAGAAGTAAGCTGAGCTCCCAGAAGATGTGTTGGGTAAGCAATGGCACCCGTCAGAACCCATAGGCAGGGCTGATGGCAGCAGAGGCCAGCGAGAGCCAAGAGAACGCTAACTACAGAAGATGAATTCATTTTTTATGAAAACTGGCGTCACCGTCAAATATTTACTTTTCCTGTTTAAACTGTGCCTCAGGTTGAGCAAATATTTGATAGGAGAATATTCTTTATATGGATTAAATTTAGCCAATAATTTCAGAAGAGATAAAGTGGTAAAAGCACAATCTCTCTTCCCACCGCAATAAAAGACAGAGCAGATACCTGTTGTCGAGGTCTTTCATCAACATGTCCACTGCACGCTGATGAGAGCATCATCAGGGCTCCACCGAAGCGACACTGGGTGGAACAATCAGTGTTCAGTCATGAGAACAGACACACATGCCTCTCCTGAGTGGATGTCATAGGGATTTCAGAGCCCATCTGAGCAGTATCTCCATTCCCCCAGGTTGAACTTCTCGAATGGGGACTTTGGATCTAAAAATCAAAATATAAGGTTGACTTTAACTGAAGAACAAGTTAAACACAGCCGTGAAGACGCAGTTAGCGCCACCAAAACCTTGAAAACTTTGTTTGGATGGATGACTGGGCTTAAATAAATTACAAAAACAAAATAAAGAGAATCAGGGGAGGCCAGAGATTAAAATATGAAGATATCAGTTTTCTCTGTCTATGTTAATAAATTGTTACAAACCAAGAGGCTGAAAGAGACTCAAATTTATTCTGCCGTTTTGCAGGTCTGAAGTTGCCGTGCATCCGCAGGGCTTTCTTAGCTTCAGAGGTCTGAGGGGAACCCTGTTCCTTCCTTCCCAAACTCTGGGGGAGGCTTGTCATCCATGTCTTCAGCTCCGCTGGGTCCAACCTTTCCTCTACTCTGATCCTGCTGCGGTCTTTCCCCTCATTCTTGCCTTCAATTCACACAAATAGTACAGGAGAACATCCCTTCCCAAGCGATGTATTTCATTCCTGTAGAGACCTTCTTCTCATGTAAGATATAAGTCACAGGATCTGGAAATTCAGGGCTGTCAGTCATTCAGCCTACTTCCTTTGTGTTAAATATATTGGAGTCTAATGGGGTAAACCAGGAAATCATCCATTAAGTTAAAATGGAAGACAGCTTTATTGTGATGCAGGAGAGATCTGTAAATCAGAAACGTGGCTCAATGATGAAGCTAAGCAAGCTCTCCGTCTAAGGGAAGCAGGACTGAGGTTTTTATGACAGGAGGGCGGAGCAATGCGGGCAGCTGAGCAGCATTTGGGTGAGATAAATCAGACTGAGGCAAAGCCAGCAGCTGGAAATCTACAGGAGTTGTGTGCTTAGATTCATGGAATTGGGTGCGTGCACCCATGGAGTTGGGTTCTTAGACTCATGGAGTTGGGTGCGTGCATCCATGGAGTTGGGTTCTTAGACTCAAGGGGTTGGGTTCTTAGACTCATGGAGTTGTGTGCTTGAACCCATGGAGTTGGGTGCTTGGATCCATGGAGTTGGGTTCTTAGACTTAAGGACTTGGGTGCCTGGGCTCCAGGAGTTGGCTCTGTAGATGCGTGGAGACTTCAGATCTGGAAACTGTAGAATTCTGGGCTTGAGAGTTTAGCACACTGATAGATCACTGACTTCATCAGTACCCTAATTTGGAATTTTGTCTTTTGATCTTAGGCCTGAAGCCAGTGCTTTGTACTTGCCCAGGCCAGAAAGCAACTTTTCTACGCCTGCAGGAGGGTGGACCTGTGAGTGCAATCATGAGCAGACTATTGGGAGAAGGAAGGAATTTCAACTCTGGTACTTTCTGTTTTCTCCGTCAAATGGAAGACACAGCAGCAGGGCAGGGCAGTCAGGTGTATGGGAAAGGTGGGGAACACAGATGTACCCCCAGAAGCGACTGGGGTCTGCAGCCAGGGTTGCTGTTAATGGTTAGTCGTCAGGAATCCACGACGAAAACAGTGAGTGCTCTTGTGTGGTTTCCTTTAGAAAGCTTTCAGACACCTTTGTCTGGGTTCCGAGAAAGTGCACGCCGAGGGATGGTGTTTTAAAACATGTCTGTGTGGTGAGGACAGCAGACCAGGAAGGGACTGCCTTTGAAAGGATGACTTGTGACTGCCGGAGAAGAGCCTGCCCCACTGGGGAGGCCTCAGGCAGGAGTGCCATGGGCACCGAAGGAAGGAGTTAAGCCAGAGACCTGTGGTGTTTACCATCACTGCCACCCTGGAGGATGCAATGCTGCCTCAGGTGATCTGGTGTGAGCCACGCCCACTCCTCTGCTTGACCTCAGGGGATAAGAGGTTGGGGTATTGACAATGGATTGGCTGGTTTGTATCAGAAGAAGACACTCACGGGAGATCTTTTGACTTATCTCCAGGAATTCTTGCCTCTGGGAGGATAGGCCTTCCTGTTCAACCAAGTTCAGAGCCAAAGCTCCAGCATGCAGAAATGGCAGTGAATTTGGCCTGTCTGCCTGAGTGACCCAAAGACCACAGGCTGGGAGCCAGAGTGGAAGGGCGAGGGCATTCTCTAAACAGAGCTGTGGAAAGAAGTTCACAGGCGTGGTGAGGTGAAAGAAACACCCAGATCCTAAAGCTGAGCTCCCAGTGGGGTTCAAGCGACTGCATGGCAATGGAAGCTGAGACCAGATGGTGTGGTCAGCGGGGATGGTCATGCTCATTCATGAGCATCCACACGTATTCCTACTCCAGCGCTGGGGAGGCTAAGGCAGGAGGGTCATGAGTTCCAGGCCAGCCTTGACTCTGTAACACTATCCTGTCTCAGAAGGAGGATTTGCTGTTGTTGTTAGGCATTTTAGGATGTGTTGTGTAGATGATCAAGGTGACCATGAGGGAAAGTGTTTCCTGAGTCCCAAGGGACTGAAAGGCTGAGGGCACAGAAATTTGCTGAGATTCCAGAAGCCTCAAAGTGTCCACACCTACTCCACCTGATTCAGCAACAATTGCTTGTAGTACAGTTGCCCTGGCATGAGGCGACAGGGACGCCTGTTTTCATACCAAAGACATACCTCAAAATAGAAGCACAGACATTGAGCATGTCAGGGGCAGAGGCCCAGGGCCACGCTCCATCTGCAGCGCCCGTCTTCCTCATGCGAGACGCTGATAGGTGCTCCGTACCTATTATTAGCTCACACTTATGAATAAAATAACAGGAATATCCTTCAAAGTTAAATAAATTGCACTGCCATGAATAAAAAGAGAACACCAGCCTGCTCCCATCTAAGGATGGATGAAGTGTGGAGACGGCATGGGTGAGTGTGGACGCACCAATCAATCAACAGTAGGAAGCAGGCAGAGGAGGCAGAAGGACTGGGTGGAGAGAAAGGGCATTTCAGAAAAGAAAAGGCCGGGGTGCTTTGAAAAGATAGCATCTTGTTCTGTGATCCAGGCCCCCCACCTGAGTCTCTCAAGTCCCTGCGACTACCGTGCAGCTGTGTGCACGTTTGCTGGGAATGGATTCTAGACTAGATTTAAACATAGACAGTAGGATGTTACAGAAAGGAAGTGGAGAAGGGCCTCAAAAACCCAGGGCGTGCTGGGGAATACTAGCCGTCCTGGGAACGCATCTGCCAAAAAGTAGAGTCATAATTCAGCTCTCGCTTTGTGAGAGGCATGTAGGCAGTGGCTTTTCTCCTTCAGCAGGGCTGTGCAGGGTGAGGACCTAGGAGGTCACAGGCTTGGCACAAGCAGATCTCACCGCGTCTGCCAAAGCCTGGAGTCCTTTCCAAGCAGTAAAATTATAGGTGTGAAACCCGTTGGTGCGATTTTCTCCAAAACACAACACAGCAATCACAAGAAGATGCAGAGATGGCTTCCTCCTCTTGAAATGGCTAAAACAAAGGTGCTATATATAAATGCATGGCTAAAAATACATGACGGTAGGTCAGCAAGCTCTTGTTTAGAACCTGGCCTGCAATTCAAGACTTCCAGAGGCTGAAGGTGGCTGACTTTCCACCAGTTTCATATCTTTCACCCCTCCACGTTTCCTTGCAGAAGGTGGGACTCACCAATGCGGCTTTTTACGGCTCTTCAGTCACACATGATAACCCACCCCCATACCTTTGACATCCGGTTCTCTGAGCACCTGCCTGCTTTATTTTTGACACTGTGTTCACGTGTGGAGCATTACTAGACCCCGGGACTGGTAACTGGCAGGGATCTTACTGCTGTTGCTTCATTGAAAACCCCAAGACTACAGACATGAGAGTTGTGTCCTGGGTGTGACCAGGTTTTGCCTGCGTATGTATATGTCCTCTTTGCATATATTTCTATCTGGCCCACTTAGCAGAAAGCAAGGGGAGGAGCTAGGGGCTCATGGGAGTACACACTTCTACTTTAAGATTTAAAGATTGCGATGCTGTGGATTAAACCCAGGATGTTCTGCTTGGTTGGGAAAGTTCAGGGCCACTGAGCAACATACCTACTTCCGGTTTTTTGAGAGCAGGATATAAGAGTTTTAGCTTTTCAGAGGGACTTTTTGTTTTGTCTTGTCTAATCAGTTAGCATTTCTAAATCAGTGTTAAGTTAGCATTGGGGCTGCAGGTAAAATGCCAGGGAGAGGAAAGGTTCCTCTCCTGACCGCTAGGTTAGCTGCTCTAACGTGGGTGCAAGCGGTTGCGTCAGAAACTCCCATCGTTTCACGGTTGAGCGACACTCTGGGTGTGGGCATACCACATTTGTTAACTTTTCCTCCACCGGTGCACAATGAGACAGTTTTTGTCTTTGACTTCTATGAGTGAGTCTGCTAAGAATATGGCCTTGAACCTCTGTTCCAGTTCTTGCTTTCGCTCCTCTGGGGTACATGCATGGAGCTGGACTTGCCAAATCATATGCTAAAGCTACATTTAGGGGTTTTAGTATTTGTGCGTCCTTGCTAACACTGCTTGTGGTTTGTTTATCTGGTGGTAGTGGTGTTTTTAGTTAGTATATCATTTGGTTTTTAGTTATTTTTGTTAGTTGCTTTTCTTTCTTATTGCTGAGACAAAATAAAGAAATAATTTGGGAAGAGAATTTGATTCAAATGACATTTTCCTGACAGGGAAGGCGGGGATTACCCTACCACCTGTCTGTGGGAGCTCTCAAGTAGGCCTTTTGCTTAGGAGGCCTCCATGTGGAATGGCCACTTCTGAAACTGCAAAGTGGTATGTGGCTTGTGGACCCACGGAAGGGAAGCACAGAGAAGGTAGGTATGTTCAGCATCGTATGCTTTAGAAGAAAGTGCAGCCCAGTCTCTCTTGTGACTGGGGACAAGGGAGACATCCAACAGGCAGGGGAAAAGTCTGTAATGGTTAGCCCAATTCTGTACAGTAGCTAGATGCAAGAGACTTGTCAGGAAAAAAAAAAGTTACCTTGAGAGTTGCTCACCTTGTTTGTCATAAAGTGTCCCAGCCCCTTGTCTGCTCTGGATGCTGATGCACACATCAGCAAGAGTTGGTGATAAAGCCTTTGTAAATCTTGGCTTTGCTTGTTTCATGCATCCTTACGATTGACTCTGGCCCGAGTGTCTGGGCGATGTGAACCTGCTTTCAAGCTGCTCGGAGTTGGCAGATTTCTCTCTAGTACATCAAACCATCGGGGACCAGCTAGAGTCTGCCTCCAGGATCACCATAGGAATTATCTGAGATGTGTGGAAATGTCAGGTGAGGAGGACATATTGTGGGCATCTAAAGGAGCCACTGATGTGAACTACAGAGGAGGTAGGTTGGGCCAGACTGAGTCATAGCGTGGAGGGGGAGCTTTGTATCTTGTCCCTTGTGTCCCTTTGACATTCTCCTAAGTTAAAACACAATAATGTGTGATGCTCTGACTGACCTACTTAGACATGGTTGTTATCCTTCACAGGGTAGTAAATGAGCTGGGAGAATTTCTAGTTTATGATATTTCAAATAAAAGTAGGTTTGGTTCATTTCTTTTGTGTAGGTGCCTTCCACCAGAGGGTCCATGTCACGTTTTTCTTCTTTATTCAGCATCTCACATCATATGCAACAAGGAGCACCGTTAACAGCATGAGATACCTGGCAGCATCACCCAGCACAATGAGGTAGGAATGGTCCGCGCTGTCTCTAGCGGACCTTACTGGATGATTTCAGTGTTTGTTTGAGGCTCTATATGTGACCATTGCCCACAACGCTGTGCCTGGCCACCTGACTGGAGTGGTGATGTCACCCACACACTAGAGCCTTACTGCTCTTGTGCCCATGTTGTCAGATGGATGGGCCAAGGAACACTGCGTCTTGGAGGATAACCCTGGGTCCCTCTAGAAATCACTCATTTATGTTTTTAAAGCAACAACCAGATCCGGCAGTGGTGGCACATGCCTTTAATCCCAGCGCTCAGGAGGCAGAGATAAGTGGATCTCTGTGAGTTCAAGGCCAATCTGGTCTATAAAGGTAGTACCATGATCCCTAGAGCTACACAAAGATACCCCATCTCAGAAAACAAAAAGAAAAAAAAAACAATCGTATTTTAGTGACTCAACGTCTATGTGTAAAAGTCAGTTCCATGGCTTAATCACAAGCCGTACAGACTCAGCACAAACCTTGCATTGCTGGGAAGCAAATGTGGGACACTCAGGGCCCTAATGGTAAACTGGGCACTTGTCTCACTCCAGCTCAGCGTGTGCATTTGGTCTATCACCCATTATCTTCCATCCTTCCGTGACGTCTGTGAAGGCCTTGAATCAACTCTCTCAGAAGCTAGTTCTGCAGAGACTGAAGAGCAGGAGCCAGCCTTTCCCACACTACATAGTACATAGTACATAGTACATAGTACATAGTACATACTACAGAGAGAGTAAGAGATGTGTTTATTTTCCACTTAGAAGTCCCAGAATAAACGTGGAATGCAGGGAGATGGAGATAAGGCCTTTTGGGGTGATCACCTGGCAGCCATCATTGCAAAGACAATGGTTTGCGTGATCATGGTCAACAGGGCCAGGTTATCTATTGGGGGCTATGTTTGCTTGGCCATGATCCACAGGTGTTCCACACCGGTATCCTTGTCCAGTTCCCCAGTCCTGATCCTGCATCACAGTTAGCAACATCATTGCTGAAGGAAACCGCTCCCTAAGGAGCCAGATACCCAGCTCTGGGCATTGACTCTTGGATGAAGGCATGCACCAGCCCCTCTGGCCCTCCAACAGCTGCGCCGGCACTCAGTTCCTGGTGTGGGATTTTTTTTTTTTTTACTGTACTAGAGAGCAAAAATGAAATCTTTTCCCCCTGCAACTGAACTGACTGATAAGGGTAGGAATTATTTTGATTCATAAATGAGGTAACCAGGGCACAGTAAGGTTAAGACCCAAGCAACGAATTCATGTCAGATAATGGATTTAAACCCAGACCTGTTATCTCTAAAGGTAATTCACTGGCTGCGCATCTTTAGACTGCTTCCAGAATGAGTCTGAATTAATACATATTAAAAGAAGAATGTGCAACCTGAAAACCCTGTCTAGTGCACTGAATGCCAAACAAAGATAAATATCCCTTACACCTTTATTTTGTTGTTGTTATAGAAAATATAATCAAAGAGCAGCACTGAGGGGGAAATTCAGAAAGGGCTAAAAAGAAAATGAGAATGAAAAACAGAGGGAGAGCTATCTCAGCAACTTCTCTGCCTTTGGGAAGGTTACTGCTCTAATGTATAGTCCAAGGGCTGGAGTTGTAATGCTAATATCAGGGAAGGCTGTGATGTGTCTCCTTGGGCCCTCGAGAAGAGTGTTTCTGAAACAGAGAGTCACACATCAAGTCAAAACCAGATTGTTTAAACCGTCAGTGAATATACTTGCTGTATTTTTACATCATACATTCACGGTGAGCTTCTGCAGTGACATCAGTTTGTGCTTGAAAACATGTCCTGTTGAAGTAGCCCAGGAAGTTCTAAGCAGAGAAATCAGTGTGCTCCATGATTCTACTTCTTTGGGACAATGCTCTAGTACACTGTAAAGATTTGTCTCTCTTATAGGTTTAATAAAACACTGATTGGCCAGTAGCTAGGCAGGAAGTAGAGGAGGGGCAACCAGACTAAAAGAATTCTGAGAAGAGGAAAGGCAGAGACGTAGTAGTAAGCCAGATGCAGAGGAAGCAAGATGAGAATGCCTTTCTGAGAAAAGGTATCAAGCCACATGGCTAAACATAAGTAAGAATAATGGATTAATTTAAGTTGTAAGAGCTAGTTAGTAATAAGCCTGAGTACTAGGCTAAAGTACTTATAATTAATATAAGAATCTGTTTGTTTATTTGAGACTGAACAGCTATGTGACCAGGTAGGACAGAAACTTTCGTCTCCATTCTACGTCACATATTCTTGGGGTTTATGACAGAATTAACTGCCAGCCTCATGGGAAGGAACATGTTCTCATAAAGATCTGGTGGTGACAAAAATCATAACCCACAATCATAAGACTCAAGTTAAAGTAATTAACCCAAAGTGAGAGACTGCAAAGCCAGAGTCATGCAGTTAACCTTACCTCAAGAGATTCAGAAGAATAGCTTGAGCAGGGTTTTATCTGAGGTTCATTTTTTTTTGAGACAAAGTCTAGTCACATAGTCCAGGCCAGCTCAGTACTTACTATGGAGCCCTACCTGGCCTTAAATTTGTAATTCTGCTGCTCCCAAGCATTGAGATCATATGCATGCACCATCAAGCCTGGTTAAAATAGTCTTAAAGTGATTATAGATATGCAAGACAACATAAAAACATAAAAGAACAATGAGCTAGAAAAAGACTGGAGGAATTTTACAAGAAGCACAAATTCTAGAAAAAGAAAACATACTGTAAGCATTTATAATGTGTAGAACAATATGTGAGTCACTGTTTAAGAAAAAATTACTGGATGAAAAAAAGACAGAAAACACAAAATAGAATATGAGTGTTTTATTAAGAGAGCAATATTCATACACATTTAATAATTTCCAGATTGCAAAACTGGAATAAGGCAGGGAGTTATTTGAATAGGTAATAGCTACAATTTACTCATAATTCATTAAAAACATTATTCCAGGGCTGGAGATACAGCTAAATTGGTGGAGCACTTGCCTAGTATGCTTGAGGCCCTGGATTTGGTTTACTGCACGTATAAAATGGGACATGATGGCACACCCTTATAACCCTAGCATTCGGGAGGTAGGAAATGAGGTTAAAAGTCCAATTTATCAGTGGTCGTAAAGAGTTCAAGACTAACCTGGGCTGCATGAAACTTTGTATCACCGCCCCTCCCTTGCAGACTGCCCCTTCCCCATAGATTAAGGAAGTACTTGTCTAGAAGAAGACCAATTTATAGTAATATTCACATAAAGTTATTGGTCACCACTGACAAAGAAGACAACCTGAGGCAGACAGCTTTAATATAGAAGAAACAACAAGACTCGGAGTAGAGTTATCAAGTCGTATGGCTGAGTGGGGATTGGTCAACTAGAGTTCGTGGCTCATAGATTTGTCTGTCAAAGAAAGTTTATTTTTAAACAGTTATTTAAAAATTTTTCATGTAATATATTTTGATTATAGTCTTTGATTATAGTCTCTAAGTCCTCCAAAGTTACACCCCTCAACTCAGCACAAGTTACTTCCATTAATTTAGCTGTTTGTACATCTGCTTTTATGCTAGGACACTGTTGATTACTTGTATTAGAATCCATTTCACCTCTCATATCCCAAATGCTTGCTCTCTCTGTTTTAGAGAAAGGTTGCTGATCTCTGGTCAAAAAATGAACCTCAGTGAAATGAAATGGCAGAGAAGAAAACCCAAATACAAAGCTAAACATTCTCATTGAAGATGTGTAGGTAAAATGATAGAAGACTTGCCTTAGGCAGCCAAAGGCACTGAGAAGATTTACCACACCCTTGAGGGCTGGGAGCAGACTCCATCAACTGAAAACAACTTGAGTTTGATAGTCAAGCCATGAGCCTGAAGTCAGTGGGTCGATCAACCTTGGGGACTGCCTATCTGTCCTGGCGTTCACTAATGTAAATCCTTGTGCTGTGTAGCTTTATCTGACTACACGGTACCTACAGCTTCACCCACCACCCCAGCTGGAGAGTTAATGCTTAGTAGGTTATGAAAGTACAAAAACTGTGCCTTTACGGATCTCAGTGCTGTCGTTGCCTCCTTACCTCCTAACACACTCAGGAGTCACTACATAGCAAACATATTAGCCAGCCTAATGGATTCAAATTGACAAGTACTGAGAATGTTGGAAAGCCTGCCTAGACAAGTCCACAAGACTAGGTATGCTCAAGAAAGGCTCTGGTGTTCAAAGAATATAAGTTACTGAAGTGAAGCCAGTTCTGGTGGACAGCAGGGTCTTGTCTGATACAGGATTCCCAAATAAACCATTAGCAGCATTAGGAATGGTGACATCCAGAATCAAAGAGACTCTATGCTACTTCTCTAGTATACAAATAACCCTTAGAATAAGTTTCTGAAGTCAGCAAATCAGTATATTGGTCAACGATCTGAATCATCAGTTCTCAGGGACATGATTCAGATGTTCAATAGGTATTGTCTAAGTGTGCAATATCCTTAATCGGCAGTGAGACAGACACAAATCAAAACTGATATTTCATCTGTCTCCAGGCAAATAACCAACATCAAGGAAACAAGCGATTATAGATGTTAACGAGGGTGTGAGGGAAGAGGACCAGTAGATGTCGTGAAGGAGGTTCCTAAAATGCTGACACAGATCTACCCTGTGATCTGGCTGTATAATCCTAAATAGTCATCAAAGGATTCCCGTCAACACACCACAAAGGTACTTATATATCCTTGTTCACAGTGGATACATCTTAAAGATCAATCAATAGATGAGTGGATAAAGAAAGTATAACATGGATACACAATGAAATTATATTCAGCTGTAAGAAGAATAAGTTAAGGCATTCATGGGAACATGAGCTACACTGGAGATCGTAATTCTAAATGAAAGAAACCAGACTCAGAAAGCTAAAGATCACATGCTTCCTCTCATAATGTGGAGTGTGTGTGTGTGTGTGTGTGTGTGTGTGTGTGTGTGTGTAGAATAAGAAAGTAGAAAATATTTTTTTTTGAGAGGGGAAGAAGGGATTTAAATAAAAGGAAAGGAGAGAATAAGAAAGTTATAAAAATATATGTCAGGTATCAGAAAGGGAGACTGATTGGGGGAAGAAAGAGGACTAGCAATGGAGGGGTGATGAGATGGAATAGAGCAATGGGGTGCCGAGGAGACAAAAGTATAATGATATGTATCTATGAAACTGCACAGTAGGTTGCTCATACCGAAGGAAAGTTTAGGATGCTTGTGTCACAGCGTTTCTGGGACTAGTTAAGATTTCCAGACATCATGTATCAAGAAGCACTGACCCGGAGGAAAGAGGCATGCTGGCTTCCCGTTTCCCAGGAGACTACCATGGAGAACAAGGAAGCTGTGTGCCATCACTTTGTCATAGACTGAAAAGCTCTCTTAATGCAGGTTTTTTATCTGCAAAACGAGCTGGACAAAAGCATGGAATCATATTTCAGCCACATAATGACTTATTTCTGTGTGGGTGCGAATGAGGTATTGCAGTTAATGGATTGTTTTCATTGTGGTCAGCTCAGTAAAAGGCTTTTACTAACCCTTTTGATAGACGATTATGGAAAACATCATCTGTAGGTCGAGAGCACATCCTTCTTATATTCAGATATAAATTTCTTTACTTGGCTCTAAAATTAGAATAAGTTTGTTTGCAAACCACAAACCCCAGCGAGACACACAGAGACTTTTTTTATACTGGAGGCTCTCCAAGGAGAAGGAATTTACTCTGTGTTAACATAACCACCTTACAGCATCATTTCGCTAACACCATCCGTGGAAACTCAACTGTGCAACTTACTGTTCTTTAAGCAAATCCCGCGCCTCTAATATAAGTTGCCACAGCCATCATTTCAGATTGCCTTTGGAGAGCTTGCCTCACAGCAGTGGCCCGGATGCTATGGGAAAGGTTAGACGATAACATTTCATGTAAGGTGGTTTGACAGTGGGTGCCCCCTCCCTTTCTTCTCCCTCACAGAGAGGGTAGGGGAAGACATGGCCATCCGTCTGCCTGAAAGCCTTGGGTAGTCTTAGGGTTCACATACCCAAGTAGGAAATATGGAGTTCTAACACACACACACACACACACACACACACACACACACACACACACACACTCTGAGATACACTGATTCCAACTTATTGTGTGTAACGAGTGGAGTGTCCATATAGGGATTCCTCTAAGACCTAACCTGCTAGGAATGAGACTGTTAAAGATGTGTACACAGTGATCTCCTATGACGTGTGCTGGTAGGTAACAAGAAGAAGCCATTGAGTATGTTTTAATGGCAGTGCAATGAACTATGGGCTGTAGAGTTATTTTCACATGAGACAGGCATTTGAAGTCTCAAAAAGAAGACAGTCTTTCCAAAAGCCACCAAGAAAGGATAAGAAGGGAACATTTCAGAGTAAGAGATCTTGTTCTAGGGCAGTCCTGAAAAGTCCTAGAATATCAAATCTAACAACCACAACCAAATCAAAAACCAACAACAGCTCTTTTCTCACATGGGGGTGTATGCATCTCTGCCGTCTTCTTGGTTTTGTGCCTTGAGGTGTATTTGCTCCTCTCATTGTGCTAAAATGCAGACTGAACAGCACCACCAAAGGATGCCCAGCTCTGCCACAACGTCCCATGTGTCCTCATCTGGCCACAGCCATTCTGAAGAACGCATGGTGTAGGTAGAGAATGATCTACCTGCTTTAACTAGAACCAATGAGTGTGTAATCGACTGCTGTATCCAGGATCAATACAAAAATCAATTGTAACTTCATCTATCGGAAAACCCTTAGCAGAAGGCAAACTTTTGCTGTTTGATGTAACATTAAAATGTCAAGAATATAATAGATCTTTAAAAAGTGACATGCAAGACTTCCAAAAAGAATAAAAAGCCAACAATAACTTTTTTTTAATGTTTGTGAGTGTTTTATTCACACAAACGTCTGCATAACACATGTGTTCTTGGTGCCAATAGAGGCCAGAAAAAAGTGTCCAATCCTCTGGAATTGCAGTTACAGACACTTGTGAACTGGCATGTGGATGCTGGGACTCAAACCCAGGTCCTCTGCAGGAGAACTTAGTGCTCTGAAAAGCTCATCTACCGTTCCAGCTCCAGCTCCAGAATTGACTGTTCTGATCCAGCAGAGCAGCCCTTCCTACACGGAGACATCCATCAGACTTTTTGGAAGGCACTAGAAGGAGATTTCAAGACAAATCTCAGCAGATCAATTATTTGAAAAATTTATATCTCGACACAGAAAACCTAGAATAGGAACATGAAGGGAAGATGAACTTCTCATGACATCAGCATGACGATAAGCCGGAAGTAAGTGTGATGGGATAGACGTAGACAAATAGGCTCTGAGCACAGAGGGAGGTTCTGGGAAGTGACCCCTGCATCTGCTGACTCCAGTAGAGGACAGAGATGGCATCAACATGTCAATGGTGCTAGAGTGTTTACTGTTCACTTTTTAAAAATACCATGCTATGCAAAATGTCAATTCAAGAAAAAGTGTACACTTAAATGAGAAAAATTAAGCTATAGACCTTTATTTATTGATTTCATTTATTTATTTACCATCCAGACTGCAACTTCTCCTCACTCATCGTTTCTCATCCTTAACCCCCCACTTTCCCTCTGCCCTCCCTTCAACCCACTCCTCTGTTTCTGTTCAGAAAGGGGCAGGCCTCACATGGCCCTTGCTAACTTGAAAGCACCGCATATCAAGTTGCGATAAGACAAAGCACATCCCCTTGTAATAAGGTGAGGTAAGACAATCCAGTAGGAGGAATAGGTTCCCAAGAGCCAACCAAAGCATTAGGGACAGCCCCGGCTGCCATTGTTAGGAGTCCACAAGCAGATCAAAGCTACACAACTGTCACATATATGTAGAGGACCTAGGTCGGTCCCATATAGGCTCCCTGGTTGTTGGTTCAGACTCTGTGAGCAGATTAGTTGTTTCTGTGGGTTTTCTTGTGATGTCTTTGACCCCCATGCTTCCTACAATCCTTCTTCCCTCTCTTCAACACTATTTTCCAGGCTTGGTCAAATGTTTGGCTGTGAGTGTCTGCATCTGATTCCATCAGTTCCTTGATGAAGGGTCTCTGTCATGCTGGAAAATCCTCCTCTATTGCTGGTGGGAGTACAAACTTGTACAGCCCCTTTGGAAATCAATTTGGTAGTTTCTCAGAAAATTGAGAATCAATCTACCTCAAGACCCAGTGATACCACTCTGAGGCATACACACAAACGATAATCATACCACAAGGACACTTGACCTGCAATGTTCATGGAAGCTATAAACCTTTAAATAATCAATGTGTGATGAAATCTACCTGCATCGTGTAGAAACATTTTTTTTTAAAAAATCAAGCTAGGTTCTTACTGTGTGGTTCTGACTGTCCTGGAACTCATGATATAGACCAGGCTCGTCTTGAACTCAGGGATCTGCTACCTCCCTAGTGCCAGGATTAAAAAGCTTGGGCCACTACCCTCAACGCTCCCTTCCTGTTGCCTGCAGATCGAGCTGTAGAACTCTCAGCTCTCCAGCCTGCATGCCACCATGCTTCCCGCCATGTTTCCTGCCATGCTGGTAATGGACTAAACCTCTGAATTGTATGCCAGCCCCAGGTAGATGCTTTCCTTTATAAAAGTTTCTGTAATCATGGACATCTATTCACAACGCTAAAGCCCTACCCAAGACTGTAAGAGTCCAACACAGCCTCAAAGGAATAAATTATCTCTCATTGTGCTGTCTGAGTGTGTTTTGAGTTGCCACCATTTCAGTGAAAGTTGCTTTGAAAATTAGGTTGATTTTTTTCAACTATATTAGTTTCATTGCTTGAGAATAAGAAGTTGTTAAACTAGAAACTGCTTGTCTCCACATAAGTGACAACGCAGCTTTCTCTGCGAATTTCCTTCCCCCTGGGACTGGCTTGTCCCTGTCCCTAGTACATGATTTGTTTTCTTATTCCAATAATGTTGAGCACATTCCAACCCTTGGGTGAAAATCGTTTTCAGTGAACTTTGGACCTCTGAAGCAATTGTTACCATTTTTTTTCCAACATTTTTCTTTAGTTTCAAGGAATAATGAATTATTAAACAAAAACTGGTCTCATTGAAATACCTGATCTTTGTGAGAGAGTCAGTAACAAAACTTAGAGAGGAATAAAATAAAACTTTATATTACTGAAATACAAACAGTTCTAAATATTTCCACTCATAAATTCAGTGTCTTTCCCAATTTAACTGAAACGTATGGATAATGGAATTTTATGAACAATCAAATACTAAGCCTTTGCTTTGTAGTGAGACAGGAAGGTAAAGCACATGGGAATTCGGAGCTCATTTATGGGACACAGAAGGGTTGAGCTCACCTGATACCTCACCCACGGCAGGATATAGGCAATGATACACACTCTAGTCAGGTCATAGGGTGGCATGTCTAGGCATGTGACATTATTTTGTCCATGGTCATCATTGGTACTTTCCTCCAATCCAAGGGTGCCCTCTCAGGTTTGACTTTGGCTTTTCTTCTTTCCTGTTAAGTTCCTTCTGTCTTGCAGACCCCTTTCTTTGCCCAAGGAGCCTGTTGGGTGTCTCACTAAATCCTCAGTTTCTCTCTCTAAAGGGCTACTTCACTCCTTCCCATTGTTTTTCAGGAATGTTGCATCCTACCCAACATCCAACAGGACTGCTTCTGCGTTGAATCCCCAACTCTAGTCATGCCCTCTAACGTTGGTCTCCACACTATCGTGAGCAAGTTTGCTAGAGTAGGGGGACCCGTATCTGTGTTCCTCACAAGGTCCTCTCCATCCTGGCTCAGTCAGAGCCACCCCCAAGCTCTGTTCTCTCCCTTCTTATCTTGTGGTTTTCTAAATTAAATGAATTCCGTCATTTACTTATTTTACCGCACTTCACTCTGTGTTCCAGCAGAATGGAAACTGCTGCTGACGGCAATCAGCCACCAGCTTACCAC